CCCCGCCTTGTTTCCCGGGCTCCGCTGCCACTCCTACTATCCCAGGACCGGCTTGCCGGGTGTCGGCAGGAAGCTGGGGAGGAGAGCGGCGAATGTCCGTTTACCGATTTCCTCCCCGTTCCATGGGAGCGACGCGTATTGCATCACTTCAGGTCCCTGAGCTGTCATTGGTCGGCTCCTGAAGCCCAGCTATAAGCTAATGGAGTGCGATCTGCTTATTTGGAGTGTAATGGTGACACTAGGGGGGCTTTTGGACCCCCAGTATCACCTTAAAGAGGACCTGTCACTGCCAATATGTTATCACGTGTGGGCGGGGGGGGGCTTGTAAGCCCCCCATGTGATAACATATTGGCTTGTAATCCCCCCTATGTGATAGCAAATAAAGTTAAAAAGTTTAAAAACTAATATTAAAATAAACTTTTTTTTAAAGTCCCCCGCAAGCATGCGCGTCGTCATGTAAACACATGTCGGGTGCGCCTACGTATGAAAACGACGATCTCGCTACACGTTGGGTATCGCCGCGCACCCCGGAGTGAGAGCAATCATTCTAGGGCCATCATTTACACGTATCTCTAAACTGATGACCTGTAGGGGCTGCGTCTATGGACTTTTTGGCGTACTGAAATTTGTTGCAGTTTCACAGACGTACACAATTTTTAACCCGGGCATGTCGGGTATTTACTGACTCGTTGTAACCTCGTCTTTTATATTTTACCCAAAAAAAAAAGGGTTTCATATTGTGTTTTGGGGCACTACATTTTACATAAATGCATTTTTCACTACATTTTTGGGTTTGATAATAAGTTGCACTAATGTCGTGCAACATAAAAAATGTGCAACTGCCGCCATTTTATTCTACAGGGTCTCGGCTTTCAGAAAATATATCACGTTTGAGGGTTTTAAAGGACAACTATGGGGTTAAGGCTTTTCCTCATAGTTCTCCTTAGGGTAACGGGAGGACACAAACTAGCGTCCTCCCATCACCCTAAGCTCAGTATATAGGGAGCTACAGCTCGCGGTATACTGAGACGCCGCACCTGGAGCGGATCCCGGCGTAGTTGATGGGATCCGCCCAGCTGCGTGAGTGACAGCTGGCTCTGCCTATCTAGAGGCAGAGCCAGCTGTACCCGCCCCCTCCCCCAGTCAGCGCGGGAGGATCGGAGCGAGGAGGGGAAATCCAGCCCCTCCCCCTGTCACGGCAGAGAGCAGTGACAGGATCGAGAGGTGAGCGAACGCCGGTAACTGTTCCCTCACCTCCCGATCTACTGAGCCGACCTGTGACAGTCTCATTGTCACAGGTCGGCTAGAACTATGAGGCGAGTGAAAAGCACCCCCCCCTTAAGGGGTTAATAAAAGGATGCTTTTCTTTCCACTGATCGCCGGTCATTGTCAGCGTTTCTCACTTGTCTTGTCCAAACGATTGCACAGCGAGGCGGAATATGTTGGCGCTATATGAATGAATAATTGTATTAATGGGGGAGGGGAGTGTAAAGTGCCAATGATAACCAAAGTTGTTTTAAGCTGGGGGGGGTGTTTAAAGTGTTAAAGTGCCAGTGAAGATTGGCCTGGACAGTAAGGGGTTAACTGATGCAGAGATTGAGGCTGTTCAATGTAGAACACTTCCTGTTACATGGTGATGATTCTGTTTCTGGGTAACAAAACCCAACACGGTACAGGAAGCTTTGTTTCGAGGAATTTCGGGTCTCGGGGGGACAACGCTGGTTTTTCTGATCGGAGGAAACCCCATGACATCATTTGTGGTTTCTATATATACGTGTCGGGGAAGCCCTCAGTGCCAGGAGGTAGATATGAGTCACATTTCACTGACACATTGAAAGAAAAAAAAAAACGAGGACAGAGACTGGAGAGTCCCGGCCCTCAGGACTCTCACCCCCGACCCTCAGGTCTCCTCCTTGAAACAAAGCGACACTCGTCACTGACAGACCGGGGCCGGTGTACACAGGCTGCTGAGATCACTGACACCAGTGACAGATATATACACTAAGTATCGGGACGCCTTTACACGCACATGAACTTTAATGGCATCCCAGTCTTAGTCCGTAGGGTTCAGCATTGGGTTGGCTCTGCCCTTTGACCGCTATAACAGCTCCGCCTCTTCTGGGAAGGCGTCCACAAGGTTTAGGGGTATGTCTCTAGAGTCCAGTGGCGGCGTCCGTTACACCGCGGCATCCCACGCTTTGCATTGCACTTGGTGATGTGCGGCTTGGATGCAGCTGCTCGGCCATGGAAACCCATTCCATGAAGCTCTCTACGCACTGTTGTTGTGCCAATCTGAAGGCCGCATGGAGTTTGGAGGTCTGTAGCTATTGGCTCTGCAGACAGTTGGCGACTTCTGCGCGCTGTGCGCTTCAGCATGCGCTGACCCCGCTCTGTCATGTGACGTGGCCTGAGCAAATACAGTGCTTCGAAAGTGGATTCCATCAGACCCAAAACTCTCATGCAAGTTCTCAGACAAGATCGGCGATGGGGCCCGAATGACCGAACTTGATCCCGCAATGTCATTACTTTCATTCTGTGGGATACCTTTCCTTTGCCTTGTTAGGACGAGAAATTGGAGGATCTACCGATAGCCCATTTTTTTTTTTCATCGTCTAGGAACCAGAATACTCACCACAGATTTCCTCAGTAATACCCCCGACCCCGATTGGTGTAGAGCTAAGAAAGGCAAATGATGCGCCGCTGGACTGGCCGCCTACAACAGAAATTGTATGAAAAGTGTCTGTCGCTGTAAAATGCCGCAGTGCAACCAATAAGGAGACAGTATCATGTAAAATTACACAGCAACTACACGAAGAGCGAAGGAACAGAACCTATCGCCATATTCGTTATCATATAACGCATGTGCAATATATGGCCCCATGTCCCTGCAGGAATCCTGGAATTATATCGGCCACGTTAACAGGAACTCTGAGCCACCAGGATGAAGTACAAGACACCAAAAATGTCCTGCTTTTTTTTTCCAGAGAAACTTCCAGGATTTGACTTACCCGGTCTGAGTCTCTAGGTCCAGTTGGCGAACTAGTGAAACTCTCAGAATTGGCAGCACAGTGGCGTAGTGGTTAGCACTTCCTCCTTGCAGAACTGGGGGTTCCCGGTTCAAATCCTAGCCAGGCCACTATCTGCAAGGAGTGTGCGTCTTCTCCCTGTGCTTGTACTGAGAGTCCCCGGTTCAAATCCTAGCCAGGCCACTATCTGCAAGGAGTGTGCGTCTTCTCCCTGTGCTTGTACTGAGAGTCCCCGGTTCAAATCCTAGCCAGGCCACTATCTGCAAGGAGTGTGCGTCTTCTCCCTGTGCTTGTACTGAGAGTCCCCGGTTCAAATCCTAGCCAGGCCACTATCTGCAAGGAGTGTGCGTCTTCTCCCTGTGCTTGTACTGAGAGTCCCCGGTTCAAATCCTAGCCAGGCCACTATCTGCAAGGAGTGTGCGTCTTCTCCCTGTGCTTGTACTGAGAGTCCCCGGTTCAAATCCTAGCCAGGCCACTATCTGCAAGGAGTGTGCGTCTTCTCCCTGTGCTTGTACTGAGAGTCCCCGGTTCAAATCCTAGCCAGGCCACTATCTGCAAGGAGTGTGCGTCTTCTCCCTGTGCTTGTACTGAGAGTCCCCGGTTCAAATCCTAGCCAGGCCACTATCTGCAAGGAGTGTGCGTCTTCTCCCTGTGCTTGTACTGGGGGTTCCCGATTCAAATCCTAGCGAGCCCACTATCTGCAAGGAGTTTGTATGTTCTCCCTGTGCTTGTACTGGGGGTTCCCAGTTCAAATCCTAGCCAGGCCACTACCTGCAAGGAGTGTGTATGTTCTCCCTGTGCTTGTACTGAGAGTCCCCGGTTCAAATCCTAGCCAGGCCACTATCTGCAAGGAGTGTGCATGTTCTGCCTGTGCTTGTACTGGGGGTTCCCAATTCAAATCCTAGCCAGGCCACTACCTGCAAGGAGTGTGTATGTTCTTCTCCCTGTGCTTGTACTGGGGGTTCCCGATTCAAATCCTAGCCAGGCCACTATCAGCAAGGAGTGTGCATGTTCTCCCTGTGCTTGAGTGGCATTCCCCCAGGTACTCCGGATTCCTCCCACACTCCTAAGACATGCTGGAAGGTTAATGGTCTCCTGTCTAAATTGGCCCCAGTGTGGGTATGCATGCTAGATAGGGCCATTAAATTGTAAGCTGCGAATGTGAAGTGCTGTGTTAACTGTCAGCTCTATATAAATCCTTATAATAAAGAAATAATTCTATTCGGCATGAAGAAACGAGCAGATCTTAGTAGTAGAAGTTAATTGAAGAAACAAAATAAACTAAAATAATAAAGAAGAAGAGGACAGTTCTATTCTATAAAAAAAAAATACACTAAGCAAAACTGGCAGGTGGGAGGAGCTATGTCCTCAAAGTGACAGGCCTAATTTATGTTTGCTAGTGTCCATTTCTCCCAGAGGCAGCAGCATAACCCTGCGTCTCAGAATCCTTCAGAGCTGTGTCCCTCAATGGACGAGAAAATATCTTGACTATTAGTTTTGTTTAGCAT